GGGTATACATGAAAAGAATGATCTTAGATGACGTTTTAGCCCACTTGGATAATTGTTTAGTGTCTGCTAATCATCATAGATTCATTCCCTGTAGGTCATCTGTAGCACAGTTACTCAGAAGATTTGAAGCTTTGCATGGTGGAAGAGACATGAAAAATGGGTTTGCGGGTACACCTTGGAATCAATCTCTTTTGGGTGAGGTGTGGTCCTTAAAAGAACCGGTGAGTCTTAACTCGATGTTTCGGCCAGTGTGCTCTCCAGTGTGTACTCTCCTGAGGACGGCTAAAGCACACTGGCCGAAACGTCGAGCTAAGACTCACCAGTTCTTTTAGGACCACACCTCGCCCAAAAGAGATTGATTCCATGGTGTACCCGCAAACCCATTTCTCACAGTTACTCAGATGCTCTGGATCAATGGAGTCCACCCAGAGATCCGGTAGATGCTGTGTTTCTTGATACATGTACATGTATGAGCAAGGCATTTAGTAGTCTGCCTCATCAAATTCTTCTTCACAAACTTGCTTTAAATTGGGTGTAACCTAAGGGGTTCTCTCTGAAGGTACATGTACATCACAAATTTCTTGGTGGACCGTCTCTAGAGAGTAACCTTCATTGGACAAATCTCAGAATGGTACAGTGTACATGTACATGTATATGGTGAAGTGCGGTGGTCAACAGGTGCCAGTGTTCTTGAATCAAATCTATTTAATGTATGTTTTTGTTAATGACATAACCCATAGTATTGATTCAACTCTGGTTTATTCATTGATGACATACATGTACATGTACTCTTGTATCGTTCATTTCATAACTACATGCAGACTCTGATATCACTATTCTGTTGAAAGACCTCAATAAGCTGAGGGTTTAGAGTGATTCCATTGGTATAACCTGTTACAAGTAAATCCAAAAGTATGAACCAATTTCTCCCTACGTGTCTCCTTTCAGGCATCCCACTATTACCGGTAGCTGCTCCTTTGGGCAAATATCTTGGAGTCACTGTAAATGCTTAGCTCTCTCAGAAATGATCATGTTAAAAATGTAATGGGACACTGGCCCTCATTAAGACCATTGAGCTCAACTTTCTTTTTACAAGGCTCTCGTCCTTCCTATATTGCAGTATGGTGTATTAAACTGCTTTGCTTCCTCAAACTCAAAACAAGTAGACAATTTAGAGAGGGTCTGAAAATGTGCCTCTGGCTTTATCCTTGGTCAGAGGCTTGGTGTGATGAGTTACACAGACGGATCAGAAATACTGGGATGGTCTGATCTGTACATGTAGGCGTGATTTTTCAGTACACTCACCTATTGCCAAGTGTGAGCTACATGTAATGTACATGTATCCGTAAAGTTACTGTCCATTCTCACTATGTTTAATGATGTTATGTTTAACCACCTGTAAGCCTAGGACCCAATCTCTACATCTTGTGTTCATGTGTTCAACTGTATTTAGTTATGTCTGTCTGAAATATTCGCAATAGTATGCCTATTGTTTTCTTTTCTTAGGAATTTGTAAATGTCCTTTCACTGCATTTTTGTTATTGATTTTAATTCATCTCTTCCCTGTTTGTCTTTTTTGGGGGGGGATGCTTTTGTGTTTTAATGGGGATATACATCTAGTTTCTCAGGTAGTAATTTCAATTTTAATTAATTTGTTTTGTTTATGTAATAGTCTTGATTTAAGTTGTAATGGTATCCAAATTAACATTACTTACAGGGCTTTTTAGGTTTCTATTTTATTATTTTACTTGGTTTTTTATCATATTTTTAACTTGTTCTTATTTATTAAATGTACATGTAGATATATTTTTAATGTACATTTATGCATATTAGAAACAAGATAAGGAGTGGCAGGGCTATGGTGACTATAGTGATTGTCATCGCTTTTGCTAGTCCTGTGCCCATCTTGTTTGTGGTTGTGTATATGAAAAGGCATGAATAATTGATAATAATAATGATAGTTTATGACGATCCTGTGTTCATGTTCAGGAATAATTGCTTCCTTGTCGGCCTTCATGGGGCCCATTTCACAGCTGTTTATTTCTGGAGCTCATCTTAATACACTGCAGCATAACATGTTGGGTGTCATAGTGCACTTTCATCGATTCATGTAAATGTACCACATTCTGTACTGCTCTATGACCTTTGTACATGTACATGAGACTCAGAGGGCCTCTTGGGATTTTAAACTGTCACTCAAGGAACACTGTTCAAAACTTTCCCCAGCACACTTGTATATGTACATGTAAATACAGTCAACTCTTGTTCTATATATGTACATGTACAGGTACATGTACATGTAGTCCTAACAGTCCCAAATCCTCCAATTTCATTATGATTTTACGTGTACATGCACCCTAGAAGGTTGGGGTTAAAGCTAAGTTAAATGAGCCACATATGCACTTGTACCCTTTCAGATTCTCAACTTTAATTTGCTTCTATTACCTGCATCAATTGACAGGTTTCTGCATGTGAGTCACTGCGGCCGATACATTCGCTCAGTCATGTCTAGGAATTCGGCAATAGTGGCACGCCTGGAGCAGCGGGCACAAGAGGCCGATCGCATCATTTCACACCTCAGAAGCCAGCTCAAGGACCTGAAGAATGCCACTGGTAATGATATTGAATAGATAATTGGTCACAATTTCAACTACCGAGGGAGGGGGCAAAAGGCCGTCATTTTGCATTGATTGATTCAAGCACTCATTGGATGCAGCATGTGTGACAATTCGTTCTCTCTTTCTCATTATTAATTCAGTATTGTTGCAGGGGAACCGGAATTGGTGCACAAGTACCGGTGATTTCCACCAGCAAAATCAAATGAACACCATTTGAAATTCTAAGATTTCAGTCCAGAGTTGACTTTTCAGTTCCAAAAGGCAGAAACTTGATAGACTATGGGATGGCTTGTCTGCAGCATCAAAAAGTTCTCACTCCAGTGTGGATTAAATTTACCTTCTGTGCGTAATAAATATTCACAGAGCTAGTAGTACTTTGAATTTATGCAAGTGGAAGATCCACCTGCACTTCAAAAACTTTAAACTACTTTTTCCCCCTCTTCTAACCTGCTAAGCACATACATGTACATTGTAGATTTGTTGCTAAGCACAAGGATTATTAGCCAACAGGTTACCAACCAACATGTCACATGATGCGTGTACATGTATAACATACGACATGCTCTTGTGACAGCTGGTCCACAGCTGGTTTTGATTTGCAGGTAGCACAAATCCTACTCATCCTGTCCTCGTCAATTGTCTTTTCCTACTCGCTCATCGTCCTACTCATCAGGACGGTGAAAATACATGTAACCCCACATGTACATGTACGTGGACATGTACCGGATACATATCTTTCTCATTTAACATGTTCAAATAAATCACCGGTACTCTCTTTGTCTAACTGCAGTTACCTGTACATGTAATTGTACGTGTGTACTGGACCTACCTGTACATGCGTGCAGCCTGTAAACTTGTGCATACATGTACACATGTGTTCTTCCTATTGGAACTGCAGTGCGCATACATATACATGTACATGTATGTACATGTATGTGTCATCTTAAATAATGAATGTGATTCACAATTTTCATAGTTTGTGACTGAGGGATCTCCATATACCGGCATAGCACACAATGGATAACATGAGAATGTTGACTGCAGACTAGACTGAGTTGGCTTCACATCACAATTTCAAAAGCAGTTAAATGTAAAATCAAATGAAGAAAAGCCACTCTCTGATTTTTAATAAGTGATACTGGCACTCCAGAATTTGAATAATACATGTACATGTAATAACATTTCTACTTTAGTTATAAGTTGTTCTCAAGAGGGAATTTAAATTACTTTAGAAGTGGGTACCAGTACTAACACTGTAAACACACGACATTCGTCAGGATCGTTGAAGTCACGTGGAAAGCTCTACTTCTTATAACAGATTTAAAAGATACCGGTACAAAGTTCAATCTTGAGGTACCCACTTGAAATAATTTGATGCTTACAGGAATCTTGTTCAGTCTGGTTTGGTGCTAACTGAATCTTAAGAGAATCTCAAGATACTTTTTAATCTGTTATGATAACTATTTAATAGTGAAAGTTCCTTGATTAAGCAGATCAACTTTCTTCATATTACTTCCAGCATGTACATTTTAACAACTGATTACTGGATCTGCATATAATTTGTAGATAAAAGGAAGCCATGTCTTTTGTTTAGAATACGTCAAACCATAATTGCCTCCATAATATGCAACTGTTGCTATGTGAACAGGCAGATTGAATGATAGTTCAGATAAATTGTGAAGTCTTGGGTTCAGAAGGTATGAGTTCCATTATTGGTATTAGTTGTCAAATGTTTACAGTCTATTTTGCAATTCCATAAATTACATGTACATTGTACAAACAATACTCTATAAAGAGCTCATATCCCCATATATCAACTCAAGACTATAAGCCACTGTCAATTAGATGTATATTGAGTCGTCCTGGCATTGTGACACGTTACATGTACATTTATGTTATTATACATGTAAATTCAGCGCATCAGTGGTTTTATCAGAATTGACTTTGTCATTCCTCAAAAGTTGTTTGCCACTGACTTCCTAATGTTGCATTTATTGCTTACAATCTCGTTTGTGAGGTTTAAGATTCATAGAAATGAGAAACCATTTGAAATGGCTCTGTAAGTATGCATCTATAGTTCTGTTATCTACCATGTAACTACTTCTGCTCTATCAGTGCATAACTTTAGCCACATCATACCTGATTGGAGAGAGGATCAACAAAGACAGTATAAATTGAAGAAATTAAATCTTGGCAACCAGATAAAAACTATTAACTTGGAGCAACTCACGTTGCGGGGGTAACTACCCTTACATTTTGATGTCACTTGATGTTGACTATGTTACCATGTCAGTTTTTGTTATTCACCTGTAGTTGTTCCAAGCAAGTTTTTACTTCAAAGCAGGCTTACATGCGCCTATATTTGTACATTCTCGTTAAAATAATGACAGCTGATTTTTTAACAAGTTGGTAATTTACACGTGCTGTACATCATCAGGTGCATGTATGGGAAATGGAACATTCAGCTTATGAATCTAGTTCTTTGCTACAGATATAACAAGGATAACATTACTTGCATAGAATGTTGTCATTGCTGTGCCCTAGTAATGTCCGTACACAGAGAACTGATTAGATCATGTTGAGTGAAAGCGACATTCTGGTACATGTACATATAGGGGGACGATTGATGGAGGCGAGGAAGGGGAGGTGACGAGGAATGTTAGGGCTTTGGGTACAGCGTATCTGTACTTAGCCATTTAATAAGCTTCTCTGTCTTAAACATTGTGGTCATGCTCGCAAACCACGTCCTCTCTACCTTTATAGGGCCTGGTAAAGGCAACTCTACAGTAATAAGACTCATGAAGCACATGTACAGTTTGCTGTAAGAGCATTCATTGGATTATCAGACCGACCAGTGCTTCCACTTGTGCATGACAGTGTACATGTGTGCATTGAATGAGCATGTTCAATGTACATGCATGAAACAGGAGGGCAAGTGTACTACAGTGCCTCATGCATCTGTAGGTGTGACATGTTTCATTGACAAAAGTTTTTGAAAGCCATTGACCCTTCTTCGTACCCTGTAAATGCCGTAAGAGGATAGATGAATCTTGATCATGTCACTGTAGGAAGAAAGGTGTCAGGAAGTTTCTGTTGTCTGCTCATTTACGTGTAAAAAAATTTGTACATGTACAGGGTACATGTGAGACCACAAGTAATTGTCATGTCTAATATAAGTCATGGGACAACACAGAGGAGTTCGCTCAGGCTTATATTGGGATATATGTTGCTGTGTAAGTGTATTCCACAACAGGAACAAACCCCATAACCCTAGGGAAGGCTACGACACTAATGCAGTATTGATGGTACGACAGGTGGTTTCCTAATGTTACATTATAATTGGCTTATCTTTAACTTTTATCCGTGTGTATGACATTAAGTAACCTGATCATAGTCAGATCATTGAAACAGATATCCATTTGGCATATCTCAAAAAGATTCTTTCACGGCTTACATTTAATTAAAAGGACACTTTAGAAGAAAATGCATTTCAGTTTGAACATGAAGTAAATAACATGGACATACACATGTACATGTAATCCTTCTTGTGCAGCTAGACCTAATTCAGGGCTGGAACTTCACAGAGGCATCAGATTAATTGCCTTGATGCCCCTGGTCTTTGCCTCAATGGCCATTAAAATGTCCCCATGCACTGTGTGTAGACAAGTTGATTTTCTAATACAAGTGGCCTTTGCAAATGACATGAATGACAAATTACCTTGCCCTTTCAAGACCAGCCCTGGACCTTCCCACTTTAATCATCAAATAAGGAAATAAACATCTAAATCGATGTACATGTACGGTAGGTGAGACCTATGTAATACCGGTACGTATAAAGGCAATACAGTAAACAGTAACAAAAGGTTTCAAACCCTGACTTAAACTCTCGTGAAAAGGAGCTACCCAATTGAGTTTCAATTTATATATGTAATTTTGAAAACAAGGAAAGCAACACAAATTAACATTTCACATAGAACCTCCCCTGGTCCCTTACTTGCAACAGCTGTGTTCTGTCAGAAGATTTTGTTTGATGCTGAAAAGCTGAGACATCACCGTTCTTTCTTTAGGCAATCACCCCCACATACTTCAGAGATCCACTGCCCCCTTGAATAAAAACAGCTGTTTTGGTTGCTGTTCAGAGGTAAGGAATGCGGTCCTTTAATGTAAGAAGGAGCACTGAATCTCCGGCTTTGACATAAATCCACCCTAATGCATTTCCTACCAGATCCTTCTAAGTACTCTACAAGTATGCTGGGAGTTTCTCTGTGTAGTTAGGTCGGTGGGATTAGATTTATTAGCAAGTTCATGGAAGGAAAAGCCTGGTCATTGTACAATGTTGTTGGGACTTGATGGCACTGGAGAGATTAAGTACAGTAAAGGTACATGTATTAATTATCACAATGGACTGGGTTTTCAGAGATTCATGACTGAAAAATGATTGTATTGAAAAGTATCTTGTTGAGCTGAAGTTTAATGGAGCTTTATTTTAAAGTTGGTTTTTAATTTTTTCCATGTTAGTGTCCAACAATGGTGGTAGGGAAGTTAGTCGTCTGCAAGCTGAAAACGCACAGCTGCAAGCTGAGGTCGAAAGAGCGCTAAAAAGACTGGTTGCCTTGGAGACCAGCCATGGCGGTAAGTGTATAGACTCACTCTCAGCAAAGTTTCCAAGTGTTTGCAGGGCATTGGTACCAGTAGGGTATGGTTTACCTTGGGTATTTTGGGAAGATTGTGTCATAATGCCGTTCCGTTTTTTTTTATCCCACGAGGAATGGTAGAAGTAGGGCAAAAGATACAGCAAAGGGGAACCACTGTGCATGTACTGGTACATTTAGCCTTGGTACATACATACATGTACATGTAGATGTACAGTATCTTGGGACATTGAGACAGCTGACATGTTTGCTCTGGATTATCTGTGCTGAGTGCATGCTCCAATCAGAGCAGTCATAAATGTACTGGTACATGTAATACAAGCATACTAAGGGCATGGAAATGGCAACTTTGTGTTCCCAGTTGATTCTGGCAGACATCCACTTTCATCAGTCCATTTGTTGTTGTTTGAGCTTGAGTCTACAAGTGTTTCATCTGCATGTACATGTAAATTTGTATCTTCTAAGGTTTCATTTTACTGGGGCACTTTTTTGCAGGAGTGCTTGAGGTTTGATCTCTAGAAAAAGGCTCAATGAAGTGTTTGAGTGAGATTTATGAAATACTGGACAATTCCATGAAAATATCGGTATGACGATCAAATTATTTGGTCATTTTAAATGTTCACGTTGTTTACCGGAAGCTGCACTGATTGGCTACAGATTACAAAAATTACATGCGTTTAGCTGCATGACCAGAAAATGCTTAAAAACTGCACTTGCAGGTAAAACTGCAAAATTGCCAGTGCAGTGATCCGCTATTTTTGATAAATCTTCTTGTATGTATAATGTAATTCTGGAACAAAAGGCTTTTCTTAAAAATGTGCCGTTTTCCAAAATCGAAAAATTTCAGCCTTCATCTCAACATCCTGCCCGCGCAGCTTTCATTTCGCTGAGCTTATATGTATGTGCCAGTCTGTCACCGAAATACACTGTACAGGTACATGTAGAAAAAAAATTTATGCCATTTTCATATATGTACATGTACCGGTAGATTCAATTTACTTTTTGCATTTTCTGTTGTCATCAGTCAGTGAACAAATATGACAAAGAAAATTCACATCTGTAATTTCACATCTGCAGCAAGCGAAGGCTGTAAAACACCAAAGGGTTTAAGAAATAAAACTTGACAAAGAGCACATGTACATGTAGGTTTATGGATGCATGCTGCACATGATGTCAGTCTGCTACCATACTACCATGGAGAGCAAGGACCAATGTCGGTTATATTTTTGATCCAGCCTCTTCTTCCAACAGTGATTTAGGGTGGATGACAACCATGTGTACAGATACAAAGGACTTACATGTACATGTACCGTACCTTCTTAACGTCTTTAGTAGAGTAAAAGTGAATACATGTACGTCAAGCACATGGCGTTGGTGCAAGAACCAGTACATGAACAAAATATGCACATACATGTACCGGTACGGTACTTCATTCATTTGCACTATACTGTGTGGTTCAAAATGACATCACACTCTGGGGTGCTCTATACATGTACCTTGACATCCTACGTGTATTTGCAAACTTCAGAGAGTTTTGACATAACCTTATAAAAGCCTGGTTGGGGAAGCGTCGGTCTGTTATTATTACATGTACTTAACATGACTCCTGCATAGAACAAATTTACAATAGGCCAGTCACAATGATAATTAAAGTACACTCAAGTTTATATCCTTAATTTACTCCAGCCACTTTACAGGAAGAAAACACTGTGAAGCGTAAACTAACTTCCCAACCAGTCGCAATCCATTTTCCCACTATAATTTACAGTTGTCCAGTCCAATTTCTACTCACCGGAATCTGATTCCGGGCTCCTCCCAACAGAGATCGACCGACCAAGCTGTCTCACGAATCTCTGAGTGGGAACTTTCTGGCGTCAACGACACAACAGAACACCCACAGAACAGCACTTGTCCAAGCGCACAAGTTGGATAGCGCAATGCAAGAGCAAGCGCGAGGGAAAGAGCACGAGGGGAGATCAATGCGCAGGCCTGTGCACCAATCTGTACTAGGCTATGGCGAGCTGCGCGCACCTTGACTGTTCCGTTACACTATTTTTGATTACTAAAACTGGCATTTGAGATTAAAACGTGAGCAACTAGATGTATTGGAGACTTTATTTTGTGATTTCATTGGCCTTTGTAGTTATCCAGATCCCGTATCCGAGGCCCCTTACAAGCCAAGCAGGTAATCAACAGGGGTCAGAGGTCAGTGTTCAGAAGCCTGACCCAGTAGCCCCAGATACAACTGAGGCCGCAGAGAAGGCCAAGCCAGCCCCAAAGAAAGCCAAGATTGAGAAGAAAGGTAATGTTGAGTATTTCATGAAGCCTCTTCCATGGAAAGGGCTTCCTTCTCCTGGAAAAAAAAATGAAAATATTGAAAAAGGGGAATAAAAAACGATTCAAAAAGGAGGAAGGAGGATGAAAAGCCACCATCTTGCCTGAAGACGACTCAAAATGGACCCCTTCCACTGTTAATGGTTTGTTATTATTCCTTATCATCATCATGATTTTTATCATTATTATTGTAGTCATTACTGAAATATAAAGCCATAATGCCACATGTTGTTATTATTCATAAAATTATTAATTAAAACCAAGCAAGCCTGAAGAAACCCAAGAGAAAGAATGTAAGGATCAAGTAGAAAGTTGAGTTTTAAAGAGGGATTAAAAAACAAAAATCTTTGATTCCTGGGAGGGGAGGAAAGAAGAGATGGAAGTTGCTCCAATACGTGACAGATTTTTGTCATCGTGTAATTTCTGTCTGCTTTCCAGCCGATCAGAAAGAGAAGAAAGTGGGTGGTCCAAGTATGCCCACTGAAGAGCCCAGCATCACCCAGGTGGATCTGCGCATTGGCCGCATCGTGGACGTCAAGAAACATCCTGATGCTGACACGCTGTACTTGGAGCAGATAGACATCGGGGAGGGGAGTCCTAGGACCGTGGTTTCAGGACTTGTCAAGCATGTCCCCATGGAGGAGGTGAGGCAAGCTAGCCCTTCCCCCCCCCCACACCTCTTGTGCCACTCCCTTCCTTCCGCATGTCACTCATGCAACAGTGCTTAATACATGTACGGTAGTTGTTGATCCATCATGCATGATGAGACCTTGTGCTTGTTTGCTACATGTATGTATTGACATGTAATTAAGTGTTGTGGGTGATCAAGCATTTTAGGAATTGGTTTTGATTCTTTCTTGGAATTGCAAAATTGTAATTCCACCTGTGTAAATGTCCATGCTTGTCTATACATATACATGTACATACCGGTACCTTTGTTTATCTGAAAGAAAATACAAGCTTGCTCAATTTCTTTCTATGAAAATTTTGGAATAAGTCGCAGATAAATATGTTAGAAAAAGCATTAGACTGCCGGTCTTGTGCTGATCTGATTTCAGTGCTTCCAGACCGATGTTTTAACCCCTTCACACTGGGACGCGTTAAGACACGCCTTAAAAATTGAGATCCTCAGCCCGCTTTTCAGCTATTATTCTCGGTCCATGCTCGAGCAAACACGGTGAAAGAAGGCAGACCCTGGCTCTTGTGTATATGGAAATTGGTCTTTGTGTGTAGCCCAGAAGTGAAAAGACTGAATTTGCATCATAATCACCAGCTTCACAGCAGTCCCCACTTTGAAAAGAGGCAACTGGAATGTGGAAGCTTGAGTAGAGCCGCTTGCCACCGAACAATCAGTCTTTTCACCGTGTAATTCAAAGCGTGCAGAGCACGCTGGGCCATAAACCGAGAATTTGCAGTTTGGCAGGTGGCCTTCGTGGCCAAGCGAGCATGGAATTCTTGGAGTCGACTTTTGGAAAGAAATTCCTGCCGAGAAGGGGTTAAACCCTGTCTCATGTACAAGGCATCCACTCATGGGGAAGTTTGTTAACGTTTTGGATAAAATGTCCAAAAAAACCTGTTGGTGCTGGAGTGTCTTTTTTTGTCCACAGTGAGCTTTTGAAACTCCCTGATTAATGGATTTACATGTTCAAAAAAATGTTTAAAGATGTGAGATTTATTAAAGTGTACTGGTGAGAATTTGAGTTTTCATCTTTTGCCGCCTCTTTTTTATACTGAATCTAATAAGATCATTAATTTCCACAGGTTTGCTGCTGTGAGTTTAATAGTGGCCTGTAATTTATTTTGTTGTTACCATAACCTGCTTTTGTCAATTTCCGCCAGGCATTACATCCATCATCCCTCATCTGCACGTACATGTAGGTCAGAGTGGAAATTACATGTACCGGTACATGTAGGTCCTTACCACTGTAGTGCTTGTGAATTGTACATTATGTGCATTCCGTCCACATGTACAATGTACATGTACAGTTGTGCTCAAAATTATTCATAACTTAAATAACTTAGATAAGTCAAAGTCCTGACCTAAATCCAACAGAGAATCTGTGGAGGGAGCTGAAGACCAGATTGATGGCCAGGAGACCATCCAACCTGACCCAGCTGGAGGTTTAAAGTTTCGCCAAGGAAGAGTGGGCCAACATCCCACATGAGACACAGAGAAAGCTTGTGATCACTTATAGGAACCGTCTTCAGGCAGTCATCAAGACATCAGTCATCATGCTATTGACTATTAAGAAGAGACTTCGGACTAATGTATGTGAACCTGCGGTATGAGTAATTTTGACCCGGAGCTAAACAGAAACCTGGGCCATATCTATTATTATGCAAATGAAGTTTAGCCAACATACATGTCGGTTTGTGTATTGCAACAAACAGACGAAAGATATATTGGAAGTACCAATATGCATGTAATGGCTTTTACAAATGAAAAATTTAGAAAAACATGTTATTTTCCAAAGGGTATGAATTATTTTGAGCACAAAGGTATACCGGTACATGTACATGTATGTACCGCTCATGTCCCCGTATGATGTACCCTATGGGCAGATTGATAATGACAGTAATATTTCACCATACAGTACCATGAATGAACAGGTTTTTCTTCTCCGTTTTGGGTAAGTATTTCAATTACAAATGATTGATGATGTTTAATGCAATTTTCCCACTTCTGTACAATGTGTCAATAAATCTCTTAGATAGTTATGGGGAACTTTTTTTTTCTTGAATTGTGGCTGGTGCTTGTTTAAGTTAGGAAGAAACTGGCAGTTTGAAGGCTGCTAAAAAAAGGAGATATAATGATGAGCTACATGTAATAGATAACTACCGGTATGTGATGTGCAATGGAAATTAGTTTACTCACAATGATACCATTTACTTGTATATTGTGTTTAGTGCTGCTTGTGGTGAATGCCGTAATTACCTTAATTGTTACAGGTACAGTGTGCATGTTAGCAATTTACATGTAGATGTCTCACTGGTACTCGTTCCTTTGCTGTACAGAGCTCATAAGTTTGCAGTATACATGTACATGTACATGTACATGTACACCTACGCTTGCCTTGCATTCTAGTGTACATGTTGGTGTTATCTTCACATTTTGTTACTCTAACACAAACCGGTATATGTGGGCACATAGCATACCGGTACATGTACATAGACACTGTAGTGATGTTTCTGGCCTCGCAGCAGTTCAAGTTGGTTGCTGAGTATCGGTACATGTCCATGTACATTGAGTGTCAAAGTCAGTTTCCAAATTGTTGCTATACATGTAGCGGTACATGTATATATACAGTCAACTCTTAGATGTACTGTACATGAGCGCAGATAGGATGCGATTCTGGTCCAGTTGAGCATATTTCACCAGTCCCAGCAAAAGTTTGTGCTATGCACCGGTAGAAATGAGTATTTAATGTGGGCTTGGGTGATATGAGATTTCAGTTTACATGTATTTGTAATACATGCACATTCCAAGTTCATAAAGAACATTTTTTAGCTGTTTGGAAAGCAGAAATTCATTACCATGTGAACAAGAACACATGTGTATGAATTGGCTATATAAATGGTATATGTATGATCGATAAATAGCTCACATGAGTGGGAAGAACTGTAGTTTGGGCTGACATGGCTGAAGGCGATCAGGATCCGGATTATGAGATAAATAAGTCCCAAGATCGACCTGCATTTCTTAGAGTCAACTATATCATTGTTCAGTACTATAAACCACCGTTCTTACATCACCCTCTTGCCTTTTCCCCAGTGGCTGCCATATTGTACAAGTTCATGCAAAAGGGTGAAATTGGGTCAGATGTGGAGCGTTAATTGGCTGTTCATGCATTTTTTTGCCTGCGTACAAAAGTTGTTTGCATGCACTTTCAATATGACAAACTCATTTCATTTGCCATGTGTACTGTACACTAAACGCGTGATGACCTGGCCGTACTTTCACCATGTGTTAATAGTCTCAGACCAAAAGATACTTTTTTGAGAGGTCTTTGCAAGGCGGTAGCCATGTACCACAGTCATGTTACCGTACAAAATAATTTCTGAAAATTCCACAAACTGGCCAAAAGTTTCTGAGCCCATTTTCAGTGATGATGGTTGTCTCCGAGTTGGTTCTGCAGAACACCCCCACATGTAGCTCCCACATTTACACGCACGCACATGATGTACATGTATAATGTACGTTGTACATTCAAGTTCCTGGTGGTGTTTGTAATAAGTACGGTGCACGTACATGTACTGGTACAGTGCAGGGCACAAATGCATCAGTCTCAGCTAGACTACATGTACATGTACTGTAGCTAGCTTGATACACAGTGTACAAGTATCTTTTGGTATTAAAGGAGCTCTTCAAAATTTACTAGTGATGTTGGGCAAATACATGTAGGCACTACTGAGTTTGTCTTTATACAGTAGAGACAGGTATAGTAGTGTACGTAACATTACACATACATGTACATGTACGATAAATACCTCCAAATGTAGCCTTCAATCAAAGTATCCACGACTGTCACCAAAGAGATGCTGCCAGTCTGAAAATTGTACTCTGCAACATATGTATCTGTCCTAATGAAGCAACTGCATTCACTGTTTGTACCGGTACATATACCGGTAACACTATATTAGGGTTCAAATTAGCCCCCAGGAGTGGTCGCGGAGTATTTGGCATGGCGTCAGGATACCCAGTCTAATTTTGTCCATTTTCAGCTTGTTTCACATTCTACCTTACTTCTATGATAAACAGTCCTCAGGGAAGCAAGAGGGTTTTGGCTTGAATGATTGAAGACCCCTATGTAAAAGGTTTCTCTTCAAGAATGAAATACACACCAAATGCTTCAAACTACACCATAACTTACCCTTGTCAGCTTGTTTCACATTTTTTTTTTCAAGATTTTCTTCTTCCACCATGTTCACTATGGCTTCCAGACTCAGCTAAAAGTGTGGCAGTGCTAAAGTGTTGTCCCATGCTGGAGCTGATGGGGCCAATATCCTTCGTTTCTGAAATACATGTATTTTATTTTCATTATCTGCCATCTCCATTTTTTACTAATTAACCGTTTGGGTCTTGTATACGTTTACTTTAATATCTGCCGCCAACTCAGACTACATGTACGTACATGTACAGTACGTTTTGGTACCAGTACATGCATGTACATGTATTTAAGCGGGTGAAAGCTTCAACATCTGTGTCTGTGATCACAAATGCATATGGTACTTGTTTGTAATTTGATATTACTGTGTACAGCAAACACCACACTGTTGGTCCAGGCCTATCCCAGGGTTGGATGATTTGTAAGGGTTGGCTCAGCTGTGTCAGCCCAGGACCATTGATGGCCCACTGCTAGCACCGTTTCATATACCATAAAAGCTAGTCCCAGCAGGGTTGGGCCAATCCAGGCATAGTTGACGGTAAGAAAGAGATGGAAGGGGATGGAATCACCTCATCCTTTTACAAAATGGAGCTACATGTACCGGTATATAACCATAAAATATAGAAATCTCCACCTAAAACTGTACCACATTTATGTTGTCATTTCACCGAGTAAACATTATTTCAGGTCTCAAATTGTCTTCCTTTCACTATTTGGGATTAGTGTCCTTACAAACCAAAGTTACTTACATGTAAAGGCACTCAATGGCAACTGAAATAGTGTTTGAATTGGGTGGACACAGAGTTCTGCAAGAAATGTTAGAGGGCCAAACATTGATAAAATTCCTTGCCTCGTCATAGATATCATCGGCACTCATAAGTAACAAATGTGAAATCAACAAAAAGTAGCATATCTAGCCAAGCTGAAATGATACAAACCAGGTTTGGGCCAGGCAACCAACTGCCAGCTCTGGGCCACCACTGACATACCACATGGTCAAAATCTGGCCCGGGTAAACAATAACTATGACTCGGCCCAGTCCTGGCTGCAGTGGGCCCAAGGCTGGCTAGAGTTGGGCCAGCTGTGGCAAGCCGGGCTTGGGCCAACCGTTTCAGTCTGGTCCAGCCATCCCTTAGTCACCTTTGGACCATGAAGGTGCTACTTAATTTCACAATTGCTGTAAATTTCTGTTAAAAGACAAACTGTGTAACTTGTTCTGTAACCTTTTAGGTCACCAAGCCTCATCAACTAAGCAGTTTGCAGCAGTTTTTAAATTTCACATTACTGGAAGTTCCTTTCAGCTAGACCTTCCTCATAGGGAAGCCATTTTGTATCATGTTTCCTGAAGCTGTCATGTTCAACATACATTGTATGGTGTGATGTCTGACTATGGTACATGTATTTTGGGTTTCAAACTTCACTTTTAGTTTGTTTTTTTAATCATGGATTTTAACTAATACATGCATAATTTATCACAATTTGAATTGTAAAACTGGCATTTATTTGTAACAAACTTTTATTTCGTTGCTGTAATATTTCCTGTCCGGTTCCAAAAATGAAAAGTTAACCTCATTTTCAATTCAAGATAGCCAACTCATGAATACATGTACATGTATATATGCGTTGTGGGTATGACAGAAAGCACTGGCCTTATCAGAATCCCCTCTCTACCCATGTTAGTCTGGCCTTCACTGGTTTGAGTCGAGCTGTAGTCGGCATTTGTTTGCACGTTCAATTTGGGTGATTTTTGCTTCACTGTCCTCTGTCTCCTTCAGATGCAAGATCGTCTGGTAATAATGTGCTGTAATCTCAAGCCGGCCAAGATGCGGGGGGTGCTGAGCCAGGCCATGGTCATGTGTGCCGCTACGGACGACAAAGTAGAGATTCTCCTCCCACCAGAGGGGGTGGTCCCAGGCGATAGGGTCAGCTGCGACGGGTATGCATGTAAGTATTCTGCTCCATGCAGGAACAAGGACAGCGTGCTTTTAAGGTTTTTTTTAAACTTGGGAACGTGCATGCATGAACATGAGCGTGTGTGACTGATATCTTTTGAAAATATGAAGTCCTCCTCTGTGTGATGTGTACCAGGTTCAAAGTTGTACGTCCGGTCTGTCTCATTTTGGCCTGGTCCGTCAGAGCCGATACATGTACATGTACTATGATAGGGCTGCATCAAAGGTACCAAAATGCCTCATGGCGTACTTTCGTCTCTTCCGTTTTTATTTGGTAATGGCGGCTTTGTTTCTGCTAACCTTCGTAGAATCCATTACAGCCTTGCAGGAATGGAAGTAAAAAAAGTTCTGAAATGCAAGAAAAGATTAGTACTTCAGACCATTGTACATTTGAGCACAAGCTCTCTGAACGGGAAAGTACAATTTTATCGGGTAAATCATACAGAAAAAAAAAGCCTTTCACATTTCCAAGATTACCGGCTGGTAAATTATGGTTGACAGTATTTTTAGTGACATATGGAGTCATAATTGGCAGTGGCATTAATGGTAATTATTGCGATGTGAAATTATTGTCATGGTATGTGCATCTTCAGTGCAAAGCCAATTACCATCCCCATATAGAGGACTCCTGCATTCTGTAGTTTAATGCCTGTGTGCATTGATAATTCAAAATCTTGCCCTTGGAATAAACAGATTATGCTTTGAAATGCCCGAAACACAGGTGATATTTGTTGAGGGAGCACAGGTGGCAATCAAAGAGAAAATTTAGTGGGAGTCACAGGGGTTTTGTACCACAGCCACGTCATGCAATCTGATGTCCAATTCATGCACTGTTTGCACCTGTGGTTTGGAACTGAATTGTGCCAACTCCTTCATTCACAAACATATGGAAAAGAGCTGCAGATTTGGTGGTTGCATGGTCTTTTGCACAAGCAGAAGATTGGCACTGCCAGATATTTTTGTAAATTTCCAATCATCGCAGGTGTCATCATTCATCCTCTGAGATAGAGTGAGCCAGTAATGACATAACCACCTGTGACCAGCTTCATGAAACTTGGCTTGAATGTCCATGCATGTATTTCCAAGTAATAACTGGCCATTGAAATTGAGAGAAATCAATAGGCAGAATTCAACTGTGGCCTTACTTTGTTTTGACCTTTTACGTGGGGTTAGAAAATATTTGCTCACAGGAACTTTTGTTACCTCCTGGTACATGCATAATTCACAAGATGAATCGGACTTCCGTTTGCTAATTTGCAACTAGAGGTTTTCTGCAAACCAACTCATTAGAACCTATTCTGAAGCTGAGTGGTCAAAAAGCAGACCAAACCATCTGGCATTAACCACTTC